GAAATTTTCAAAGGTATATGTTTGGCCTCCGAATTCCCCTAATAAAAATTTACCTATATTCTTCCACCATAGCGAGGCCTGTCCTCTTAATGCAGATGTGGCAATGACAACTTTTTGTCTTTCAGGCACAGGGTAGAGCTGGAAATGGTTTTCGAGACCTTCTAAGAATATCGCCACCGAATTTTTTCCGTCGAAATTGACGTTTGGCTTCATTGATGCTCTCATCGTCTGGACCAGGTATCCAAATCCTTCCAATTGGCTCGCCATTTCTTGTTGTTGGACTTGTCCAGGAGTTTCCATCCAGTTTTCGGCCATTACAGTTCGAGAAAGTGTTCGGGCGCCAATGTGGTGTTGCGCGGCCCCAACCTGCACGCAACAATAGTAGTGACTGCTATGAACTGGAAAGTACACAAACTCTTAAGAAGGGTTTAACTCCCTTTTTATTCCACTTTAGAAGTTACAGATGCGTGCACTTGACGCTCACAAACTACGCCGACCCGGCGGTAAAATAAAAAAAAGAAACTAAAAATGAATAATAACATGTTACTACCTACGAGGCTCTCTAAAACGTAACTAACTTAACCGCGTTCTAAGATACAGCTGATATTTCAGCAAACTTTCTGAATATTAAGTTGAAAGATTCAACTATCTGCCGAGGCAAGCACACAGGCCGAAACGCGTGGTTCTTAAACTTTTACCTAGCAACCTTCACGCTCGTGAATCAAGAAAACACACCTACAAACTCGTTTCCCTTCTATTTAACTCAAAATTACTTCCGCTGAAAATCTGAATACTTTGCGCGTTCTACTAAAAATTTACATACTCTGGCATTGTCAATTCTAGGGGAAAGTAAGGCTTGACAGGGAAGATATCTTAAAAAAATAAATGTTAGTTAAAATAAATATAAACCCTACAAACTTTTGTGAATTTATTGAAATCAATAATGAACAACTTTCATCTCTTAATGAGATCAGTTTTGGACATTTTGACTTTATTTCGATCAGTCGAAAGGATCATTTATTTCCTATTCTAAAGGCTGTTTTTTTCTCGGCTTACAAAATCTGTTCCTACTTTGTTAAGATCTTTCTTTGACAATAAATTGTAATACCTACCTGAAGTTTCTTTAAACTAACAGGCATACTTTTGATGACAAAATTTCTGCTATGGCCGGAAAAAATTCCATAGTAATAAACGATCCATTAGTTTCAGCGCCGAACTCTTTGGAAGCCAAATTAGAGAATAAATTTATGACCCTAAAAGAGTCTTTGGAAAGTATTTGGAAACAGAATGTAATGTATTCTCAGAAAAAGAATACTAGATTTTTATGAAACGTGTATTGACTATCTGCAATGATTAAGAAGCGATTCGTGTGTAAGCAATGGAGTTATCAAAGATCGAACGAATTTGGTGAAGTTATTCCTCGTCTGGATCATAGCAAAGGTGTATCAGTAGTATCAGTATCAGTAGTGAGCATAGCCCGATCCACCTAAACAAACAAGATGGTCTTATGATCATAACAGGCCACGCCCAATTCAACAAAGGAAAATAATTGAAACATTAAATAACTAAATGAAAATAATCATGTGTTAATAATAATTAAAAACATATAAATAAAGAAAAAGGATAGATACAAACATTTAGACAAAAGCAGACACCAAAGACAAAAAAACGCGAACAACAAAACACAAACAATGGTTCCAAAAAAAATTAGTAAAATAAACCAAATAGCGAAAGCAATAAAACACAAAAAATCATCCAATGATTCCCACTGCCCGGCGCATTATAACATTTTGAATTCAGTGTTCATACTCATCTGTGAAGCACAAGATTAATCAATTTTTATTACGTTATTGAAAAGTAACAGTTTTTCAGGCAACAAAAAACGTTTCAGCAAACGTTCCTGTAACAAGTTAAATTCCTGTATAATTTTCGCTTAAATTCTTGTCAATATTATAATGCAAGATTTATAATTAGTTATCAGATTTTTAATGTGGTCTATTTTTAGATATTACATCAGTTTTGTGTATATTTATTCAGATCTAAAAAGTGCTTAGTTTTGGTTTTATGTAATTACGGCACAGCCTCGAGGGCTATCTGCCTAAAGTGAGGGTTGCCTTCGTGGAGAACATTCTGAGGAAAACTAGCTCGTATACACGTAACACATGGGGAAAACCACGAAAACGTCCATGCAACCAGCCCGTTCGCGGGATTCCAACCTTGGACCGAACTTCTAGTGCTCAGCGATTTTATCGGCCGCTGGGGGGATCGATTTAAAAAGGGTATAAATATATATGTACTGCAATTTCTTTCACTGCATTTGTTAATATATTTATACAGTTTTATATATATATATATTTAAAACAGATTTTCTGTGCCTTAAACTTCTATGCTTCTGGAAGTTACCAATGATATATTTGTCATTACCAATGATATATTGGTAATGACAGATACATTGGTAATGACGCCCATGCGTCCAGCCCGTTCGCGGGATTCTAACCTCGGACCGCACTACCAGTGTTCGGAGATTTTACAGCTCAGCCACTAGTGGGATCGACTTAAAAAGGGCATAAATAGGAATATGTACTGCAATTTCCTTTCACTGCATATATTAATATATTTACAATACATTTATATATACATATAGTTATTTATTTAAAACAGGTTTTGTATGCCTTAATTTTTATGCTTTTGGAAATTACGAGAAATATGTTGGTAATGACAGATATATTGGTTATCAGAGATATGTTGGTAATGCAACAAACCCGTTCGCAGTATTTGGACCTCGGACCGAACTACCAGTGTTCAGCGATTTTACCACACGGTCACTGGTGGGATCGATTTAAAAAGGGTATAAAATGGAATATGTATTGGAATATCCTTTCACTGCATACATTAAAATATATATATATATATATAATTTATCAAGCAAAGCAGTAATAACAATTTTTGAAAAACCAATTTTGGTCAAGAAAACATCTTGCGCAATATGCTGCAAAATAAGTAAAAAATAAAAATTGTAGAAAGCTCGCCTAAAAGTTACCAAGAGCTGCTGCTCCAAAAGGTTTAAGACGTTTTCAAAAATTAATACACATGAAAAGCAAATCATTAGACATGTAAAACATAAATACAATAAAATTAAAAAACAGAAAAAGTTAAAAAGTAAGCGGAAAATGGTAAATTAGCCCAATTCGACATCCAAACAGGCTTTTCAAGGGAAATTTCATTTATTTGAATGTCGAATCAAGCTAACCCCATTACGCGTTTCGCCGAAACAGACAATTGAAACTTTTTCGCTAAAAAAATTTTTTTGACAAAGTGTCTTGGAAATTTTAATAGTCTCAATTATATATATATATATATGTGTGTGTGTGTGTGTGTATATATGTGTGTGTGTGCAAGATAATATGTTTTATGATTTAACCTATAGTTATTTATTTATTTTTCTTCCTATTACTTTTGTTAAAAGTTTGTTATATTTTTACTCACTGCTTATTGGTATCTACGATACGCAGTATATTTGTAGCTACGTGATACGTATAATTCCTGAATAAATAAAATTTTTGATATAATCATGGGTTGCTAAAACTTAAATTTTTTTAATTCAAATTCATTAGGAATATTAAACACGCGTACGCGGTGTTATATTTCAATGATTTGACTTATGACGTTGTTGCATAACCTTTTCAGACAAAATAATGTATTTTAATCATAAAATTCCTGTTAACAAATAGTTTACAAACATGTAACCTTTTAGAAAATTTCCATTTTGCAAAAGATCATACGTAAAATTATGTTACGTTTCTTCACATACCTGAAGTTTTGAAAAGGCCATTTCTTTCTGTGTTTAAAATATCCATTAACGTTCCCCATTTCTTTTTTCCGTACTCTTTACTAAATCCAGCAGCGTATTTTTTCGAAAAATTTCACCATTTACTCAAACTCGATTTTTTTTTTCCTACCGCCATCCTCAGTAATAAGCCCGTGCAAAACAGCCCCTTTGACAACACACTTCCCCCTTCCCCTGAGCCTGGAGCAATGTAGAGGTGAGATAGACTGGTTGCTATGCAATAAACGTCACTTCCGCACGGAATTTCCACTTCACTTTCCGCCGACGGAATTTGAAGGGGCCAGACTCGCTCTCCCTTCTGCTGTCGAGTGGAAAGAGAATCCCGACTGGTTTTCCGATATCGATCTCGACCGGTGCCCAAACTACACCCTTTAGATTTAGCAATGTTTTTTGCTATCGGATTTTCCACCTTTTCACATCTGCCGATACGCACTCTGCTGAATTTGCGGTTTTTTCTGCGAGGAAACCTTGAATGTTGTCGAAACTGACTTTCACGTGCATTCTCCGCGTTTCTTCTGCTTTGGAACTTCACCGCAAGCTGGAAGAGGTTTTCTAATGTTTGCGTGTTCCGGACTTCAAGAAAGTCTTGAGCTGACCGTAGTAGACGCGATAAAATCGCCTCAATGAGTTCGCTATCGGCCTCTTCCCGTATAATAGATTAAAAACTTGAATTTTTCTTAAAATAAATTTCATTAAATCATTGAGCCAGTTTCCCTTAGAAAGTCCTCCACGAAGGCATCCCTTCCCTTAGGCAGATAGCCATAGTGTGCTTTGTCATAATTAAATAAACCAAACCATCCATTAAATCATCAAAACTCGTTTGAAATTTACTAAACAGTTGCGCTTCTAGCTTCGTACAAGCTTTCACAACTGGGAATGCTTTTAACAATGCTGTCTTGAAATTTTCCCAGCTGTACATCTCCGAATCTGAATCCCCCAACAAGAATATGCCAATTCCTTAGTACGAGCTCAGAGCTTGACCTATTAAATTCGTCGTCGCTATCGTAAGTTTTTGTAGCTGGTTTACGGGATACAAGGTGAAATGCAGGTCCAGCTGCTCGAGGAAGGTCAATACTGAGCCTTTTCCATCGAACGTTGCTGCTGGCTTCATCGCGGCGCATCGTTTCTACGATTGCTTGGTCTGGAACGTTGAGAACTGATAATCGAATAATCGCTTAGTTGAGAGAGATAGAAACGTAAAAGAACGAAGGGTTAATTATACTTTAATATTCAAAATAAATCTGGTTTTCTTAAAATTTTAATAAAGTGATGTAACATTAATATACGTAAAAACTTATGTTTTAAGCATTTACTTCGGCAAAAGAAATTAAATTAATTTTCTTATTTTCAGACTTAAAATACCCTTATTACAGATTTAAAAGAAGCGAAAAGTATGCTTTCATTTAGCATCAAAGAAAAAATGAGAGAAGAAATATTAAGGTGGGAAACAAAGATGTATTTTCAGGTTTTCTCGATATTTTGAATTCAGTCCCAAGAATTTTGGCACTTACTTTCTCAAATTCTTATGGCAAGTTTAAATTTAATTATATATATTATCCTTTCCTTTCCACCTTCAAAAATTTTAATTTCATTTCTAAAACCTATATTTTATATTTAGTTGGTAAATTTTAATTAGTTACGTTAAGTTATTCAGTATAAGTTAAGTGTAAATTTTCCACAACTAATCTCATTGGCGGGAATTATCAACTTGGTTAATTATTGGCGGGAACTATTCTTCCCACTTTTCCCTCGTGAAGACAAAGAATATTCTCGGGTGAAGATCTCCTGCGAACAGCGACTACCTTTTTTAAAGGGCTATAAATTTGCTTTGATTAATTTTGAAAATGTCGTCAATTGTAGCCGAACTTTTACAGTCATCAGGTAAACCATAGTTATTACAAAATCTGTTTAGTGTATTATTTGTTTGTAATCTACTGGAAACTACTTAAATATATTTTTAAAAACTTGCATAACATTTTATTATAAATTTAATAGTATTATTTACATAACTGATGATAATAATAATAAACATCTGACACAAATATTTTTATTAATAATAATGAAGTCAGAGTCTTATAAATAAATATGTCTATAATAAACTTAAAGCATCGAAGTTAAATTGGAATCAAAGCAAGGCAATTCCTCAACAATATTAATAATTGCAACCGTGTATAAGATGTTTAAACAATACATTTGAAATTCTAGTTTTCGGTTTTATATGAATTTTTATGTCTTAAATGAAAATTTAATTGATTCTTTTTTTCGGTTTTTGGTCTCAAACGAACCAGGAGAACAAAACATGTTTCGAAACATATTAATCGACTTTCATGAAGCTTTAATTCATTTTCGCCTGATGACTTCTAAACTGGAGTTTCAGTAAAAGGAGATTAATTTTTATAATCTTGTATATATTTCCCCTTCATATTTATTTCTTATTATTAATATTAATATTAATAATATCAATTATTAATATTGTTGAGAAATTGCCTTGCTTTGATTTCAGTTTAATTTTAACTTTGATGCATTAAGTTTATTTTACAGTAATGTAATCATGATGCATTAAGTTTCAGTCTTGCAGCTATAGCACAGGACAGGTTTCAAAAATTTTGTTTTTAATTTTTAGCCTATTATTGTTTCTTTTTGTATATATGCACATACATATATATATAATTCTCAGCATATATATAAACTTGTTTTCGATTTCAATGAATTTTAGTTCATTCAATATATACATACTTACATATATCGCAGCAATGTCCCTGTATCTGCAGTTTCACTTATCCAAGTTTCTGAGTGGCAGGTTGGAAAAGATTGCTTCAATTTCAGAAGTTCAAAATGCTTGCAAAACAGAAACAGACTGTAATAAAAACAAAATATATTAATTCAAACATAGTCTATATATATATGTTCAAGTTCATATGAAGCTGATATAACTAAATATGTGAAATGAAAATGCTCGTTTTGGAACCACATGGGCATTGTCAGGGTCTTGCATTTCATCTTGTTGGTATAAATATGTTTTTATAAATTCTTTTCTATTAATTATCAGAGAGTATTTGACATATGTTTGTTTCCGTAGGCACACTTCTTTCTTTCACTTGTGGTTTTTAACATTAACTTTGTTCTCTATTAAGCATAGTATCTCAACTTATTTGCTGTTAATTTACTTAATTACGACAGTAAAGGAGTCAAAACATGAGTAGGGTTATTACAAATCCTTGGAAATTGTTGCAATGTTAATGCTAGAAAAATTTATGTTTCTTATTTAGGTTAATCTTTTTATTATGGTAACTTGGTGATTTTTTGGCATAAATTTGGCGACCAACCCTGCTACAGCAACCTGCTAGTTTTTGTTTGGACGCCATTTTGTTTTCACAAAGTAAAGGCATTTTTTAAAAAAAATTTTGTGTTTTTACTCATACCAAAGCTTTAATTGATAAAATCCATCAATAAAGTTTAAAATTAATAAAAAGAACACAATAAAGACTATTTACAGTAAGAAGTAACAAAATTAAAAATGAAAACGAGTGTGGTAAATCTCGAAGCACGGAGAAATATTACTTTGTAACTCTTAGAAAAAGTATCACTTTTTAACTCTTTAGTATTATCATTTGCATTAGTAAATGGTTCACTAACCATACTAGGGTATTCTTTCTCTGATTCAGATCTTTACTGATGCGTGGATGGGACGCCCTGCTGTAAGAGACGTTCTTAGGGAATGCATATATGGGACGCCCATCCTGAAAGGGTTAAAAGGAAAACTGACTAAAACTATATACAGTCAAAAGTCGTTAATCCGGACTCGTCGGGACTTCGGCGATTCCGGATTATAGATCATCAGTTTAAATCTGGTAAGATGGCATGCAGAAATTATAAAATTAAAATTATGAAACCGTAATTTATGAAATAAAGAACAATTATGATCTAAAGGGTATCAAAATTTACAAAAAAAAAAAAAAAAAAAAAAAGCTTAATATTTATTTGTTTACTTTATTAAACATTTCTTTCAATGTAAGTTGTTTAAGTTGCTTCGTTTTTTTATGTGATAATACATTCTCTTTAATTCTATAAACAGACAGAATTTCTTGTTCATTTACAAAGTTCCGCTGTTCAAGTCCTATAATTGCTGTGTCGAGAATACCGACTAATTTGTCAATAGAAATTTTTTCGTTTTCAATAACCTCTGTCACTTTCTTCGCTGTCGGAAGCAAATTATAATGACGAGGAATTTGATTTAAATCATATCAAAGATGGAGTACATCGAGATGAAATACTACATTTAGTAAGGAATTATAAGCCAAATAAAATAAAAACATCTGCCCTGAAGATAAGGATAGTGCTGACAGATCAACTTCCAATTCATTGTGCACCGCGGCGTTAAAGATAAACAAAGTTTAGATAAACAAAGGATATGCCTTTATCCATTTTTTGCAGCAATTCCACTTTTTGTTTAATGGACTTCGAAACATACTTTCGCTTTGTAGATCCTTTACGTATTAGTAAAAATATATCAGAAATTCTATTTGACATAATCGAAAGTTCAAGCTTACTTTTATAAAATTGCTCTAACAGTCTCCAAAAAATAATAAGCCGAATCCAATTCAAAGATTAAGGAACAATGCAATCTGCAACATTAACTGAATTAGATAATTTTAGCTTAGCTTATACCGTCCGTTATACATTAAATGCGCATTCGTAAACGTATTTTGTGCACACGCATATTCGCAGCCATAAAGGTCATCACCATTCTATTTTATCAACCACGTACAAAAATTTTCGAGAAATTTAATTTTATCATCATTAATTGAAAATACTGGTTCACGATTCGGATCTGCTAAATGTAGTCCTTTGCGTGGATGTTTAACATTGACAATACTCCACCATTTCAAAATTATTTCTATGAAATATTTTGTTCCTCTAACAGTTTCTCCATATCCTCTTTTGTTTTCTTTTAATTCGACACGTAATGCTGCAAGTCTTTTCATCAAAAAGTTGAACGGCAGTAGAAACATTCTGCCGTTCTAAAGAAGTTGGATATAGAACTTTTTCCGAAAGAGCTGGAGCTATTTTTATAGAATGCTGTTGCTCTATGTTATATAATTTGTTCAGATGCAATAGACTTGCACAGTACAACTTATTATCTGTATCATCAAAAGATGGGAATATTAAAGGTTTGTGATTGGTTTCAGCTTGGTTTAACCAATTATTCCTTTATACATTTCAGTAAATGAACTGAATCAAATAATAAAAAAATCTTTTTTCCCAAACGAAATTCATTTTCAATAGCAGACACCATATGACCATTGCATAGTATTTCAAAAATTTTTTGGTTAACATAGTTGTTGTCGGAAATTATGGAAACAACCTCGAAGCCACAATCATGAACAAATTTTAACACCTGTAAAGTTTGAATTTTTAAATCGTTTGGCTTGAGATTATGGACAGGAAACATTGCAACAACTTCTTTATTTGAAGATAAGATTGAAGAAATCATAAAGGTTTGAATTGTAGAAGCTTCTTGAGACATATCTGTACATGACAAGCCTTCAATTTTACCATTCTTATATGCAACAGTAGGTTTAATATAAATCTCATCAAGTAAAAGATTCACAACCTTTTCATGATTTTGTAGTTGTGAAGATTTATGAGATAAATACTTTGCATTTAACCCCGTTTTCGACCCAACATTTATTGCTAACTTTTTTAAGTATTAAGGATGTGGTAAAATCAAGGATGAGCTTTCTCGTATTCGAGAATAACACGTGCTATAAAATAATGTGCAAGCCCATGTCATCATTTCAGCTGTGTAGGGTGGGCGTTTAGCTTTCAGTAATGATATCTGTTCCCTAAAAAAATTTAATCTGTAGATCATAATCTGATGTATTTTTAGAACACTTCTGAAGAGTTTGTTACCAAATCCAGCATTTCTTCGACTGTTTTTGAGGTTTTCTCATAACTGTACAGATGATTTGAAAGGTTTTCACATTTTGACCATTTATTACATATAATAGATCTTTTCCCGAAAGCCATTCAAACGTACTTGTTATGTTTAAACCTTCACGAAAAACTGAAACAGTTAAATCATGCTCGACTTTAAATGACACAGTGACTGATGGACAATCTTCCATCTCAATACGCAAAAAAAGTATATAATCGCATGCTTTCATTATTGCCCATGTATTTGATAATTCATTGCTGTAAAGTTTCAAAAATTCTGAAAAGGAGGCAATGTCGTCTGCAGCACACAGTTTTTTAAAATTATTTTCACGCCGTTCGTTTATTTCTCTTGTCCTGTGTTCTGGTGTCTTTCGCTTTTGTGGTAAAGGACAAGATAAATATTTAGGTTGACCGTAAAAAATAGTAGGATATGCATCTTTCGATAAAACTGGCACTTTTCTTTGAACTGTTAATACTGTCCCATCAGGTCGTGTTGCTCTATCGTCTCTTATGATGAAACGTTCATCAAAATGCATACACAAGCACATGATCCCAGTACAAAGTCTTTCCTATTAATTTTACTAATCCATGTTTTACACAGCATATCATCTTTGGGGAACTTAAAAGTTGTAATATGATCTTCGTTTGCATAGTAATTTGACTTGCATCCCGGAACGATACTTTTTCGCAGCATCTGTAAAAATCAATTAACACTGTATGGTGCACCTTAATTAAATAATAAGTAAAGGGAAAGGAATTACAGTGAATTGTTTAATGCTATATAATAAATATACTGTAGACTATAATTATTAATACATTCTTATTAAAGCTTAGTGACTGTACAAAATATATGTACAAACTCGAGCTCAATATTTTTTAACTTTCAAGATTTTTTTTTAATATTATTATTCTTGTCTAATTTAGAAGAAGGAATCATTCCAATA